CTTGGACTGGTTGCTTGAGCTAGGCTGTGTGTCAGTTTCTTCATCTGTAAAATGGGAAGATGATGACAATAATATCTACTTGGTGTGCACGTTGTGACAGTTATGTGAGAGTGCTTGTGAAACTCTTGGAACAGTGCCCTGCACTAGAACGCTCGTATTGACTGGTTTTTTTTTTTACCTGTTTGACTTGGCGTAGTAACTGTCCTTGGGATTCTGAGGACTTGGAACTTGGCCTGCATCTAGGGAAAAGGAGCCATTCTGTGTAATGGTTGGTGTTGCAAACTGACTTAAATCTCATGGAATCTCTTTAGTAAAGAGCTGGAGAAAGTTTGCACGGGGTGACGTTAGGTCCTCCCATCCAGCCTTCTTACCAGCTCATTACTACTTAATGAAAGCAAATCTCAGATCCATTTCTGCCATGTGTTGGACAGACAGGCACAAAAAGTTTCATAAGACCTGCTCCTTAGATGGAGACCTAGCCGTCTACCTTCGTAGCTGACCCAGCCGTAGCTAGTTTGAAAAGTTTCTGCAGGCAGGAGCTAAGTGATTCCTGTTGCAGGTTTCTGTTAGTCTCAGGTCTGCAGCCAGCGGTGACAACTCCAACCCTAGGACAGGACCTGGGGCTCTGGAAGAAACATTCCAACGGGCTTCACTAAGAACGGGCCGTGTATAGAATATCGTGGCCAGTTCACATATCTTCAGTACCACTAATTTCACCCCTGAAAACTCATTTCAGACTCCCATTTTGATGAGAACAGTAGTTGAAGCATCTGAACATCTTGAGAGCAATAACAGCATGTAGGAGACCATTTGGAGAGCTTATTAAAACACAGATTCCTGGGGCCCCTGACTGCAATGCTTAATCCAGTGGGTCTGCAGCCTGACAAGCTCCTACCTGATGACAACACAGGTCCCCTGACCTGTTGCTTAGCCTGGAGAGGCTCTCAACTAGGGAGTGTTCTGTCTGAGTAAATGCTAGCCGGCCACCCTTGTAGCGTGAATTCCCACTTAGGGAGTAGACTGGAACTAACACTGCCACACTGAGTATGATGAAATCAGCGCGGAAGTAATAGTGGTTCACATGTGTTGACAGCTAGGCATGTGCTTCTAGGAGTCTCATGTTTTTCGTTCTCAACAACCTGCGAGGCAGGCACTGTTCTTAGAATCATCCTCATTTCCTAGCGGGGAATACAGCAGGGAGAAGTGAAGGAGCTTGTCCCATGTCACTTAGCCAAAGTGACAAAGCCTGGGTTTGACACCAAGAGCAATTGCTCAAGCGTCACCCTGCTCTGGAAAGGCTGCATGGCACAGTGGTCAGGAACAC